TTTGGAATGTTTCGAATGAAGTTTTAGGGAAAATTGAAGGACCCAGTTATTTAAGCAATAAGGAGACACATAATGAATATCTGTGGTTTCATCCTTTTGTGGCAAAGAAGCGTTTTATAAATCTTTATTCCACTGGGAAGTATTAATGAATTATTTATAGATAATGTATTAGATTTTATTTATTAATAAAATTGAATTTGATAAATTATTAATGTTGATGGAAAAATATATTTATTTGAATTATTTTTTTATTTAGTGCAATGATATTTTGTAGACACTTGTGATGATGTTATGTCATAATCTTTACTTACTTACTTACTTACTTACATTAATTACGGTTTCCCAATCACAGTTTTCCGACCATTCGGCTGAGTCAACTGAAAAGATATTACACGGATGCGCATGTGTAATTTTCTTTGAATTCAGTGGTTTCTTTAGCTAACTCCCTAGATTAAGTGATTCAAACACGGACCTCTTGCTCAGAAAACGGACGCTCTAACCATGAGGCCACCAATCCGAGATCTGATTAAAAATATTTAAAGGAAGGGCTATCGGACGTTTGTGCATCACTTACAACACAAAATTTCGTGGACACCGATTAAAATTTTTGTTTTAATCCTGATAAAGCCGAAATTTGACAAATTTTCATGCAGCGCTCGATTTTCAATTTTCAGAATAAAATTACAACAAATATTCGCGGCGCAACTTAAATTTTGATTTTTCGTGTATTTGTGAATAAAAACAATAATTCCAGATTATCGATACAAATTTGCTTCTTTTTAAATATATGACATCAAGTTAAAAAATAATGGCAAAAATATAATATTACAATGCTTATAAAACAAAACCAAACTTTAATATTGCTAAATAAAAATTGGGTTGCGCAACGCGCGTGCTAAAATATTTTGCAGTAAAACAAATTTAGTGAAACAAATTTAATGTCACAATAGTTTGGCTATTTGAACCCTCGGGCTATTTTAACGTATACGTCATTTTTCAATTGGTAGTTATTGTGCATGTTTTTTTCCAAGGCCGCAATTGATTATACAAGATTACGTGCATGGCATGGTCACGCGCACAATAACTTTCAACAAGTATCCACACTTTTTTTAATGCGATGGAAGTCGTGATTCACTCAGCCCGAATAAAAATTCGGCGGTATGACAAACTGTTGTCTGAGTGCAAGGAATACAAATTTGAATTTTGATCTATATGTAATATTTAGGCCCGTGGCCAGTTTTCATCAACAATATTTTGATTGCTCTAACCAGAGCCCTTTCGCTTGCAGTAGCGCGCGACCGCCGAAGGCGGCAAAGTTCTATTCTACTTGTGAAAGAAGCGCGTCACGCAGTACGCGTAGACACATGGCTATGTGAAATATTTTGATCTTTATTACAGATTATGCATATCATAGATAACCATAAACTTGGATTAAAAGTAATTTCAATTGACAGAAGCTGAAGGACGGCAGCTCAAAAGGCCCATGGTGCACCATCGGCAAGATCAAGGACTCGAGTGCCAATAATGGCTTTTCCGAACCCATTTTCCCCGATTAAGAGAACTCACCTTAAATTATTTTAATGCAGTCACTTAGATAAATTTATATCAGGACAATTCAATAAAGACACATACTCTGCCCACAATAAGGGGCCATAATTGTTTCAATTATGTAACTGTATAGAATTATTATTATTATGCACCAACGTTCTTCCCTTGCTACAAGGGGGTTTCATATCTGCCCCTTTCGATATAGAGGTTGTGGCAGCTGATACGAAACCTTGTCAAGCTTTTTCGAACATCAGGTATACATTGATATACCAAGGAAAGCCCCAGTGGCGTAACGAAAGGCCCTGCTGACCCCGCTGTGCAGGGGGGGGGGGGGGGGGGCGCCGTCTTAGGGGGCGCCAAATCGTCGTTTGAATGTGGGACAATTTCGATTACCGGCGTATTCTTTAAAATCACCTAATTTGTTCAATTTTAGGGAGGGGCACCAAAAGGGGAGGGGGCGCCAACAGGGGGGCGCTTTTTTCGGCAGGGGGGCGCCAACTGGCAACGTTACGCCACTGGAAAGCCCAGCATGATCTGCTTGTGAAATGCAGCACAGAGTAGTTCGTTTTCAGTGCTTTCAAGGTGACTATAATAATCTATTGCAAGTTTATATATTACTGAACTAACGTTTCGGTGTGTGCAAAAGCTTTCAGGCATGCGCATTCCTTGCCTTGTTAGTTACCTGTCCTTCTTAAACCAAACTGGCAGTCAAGGAGAAAAAGTCATACACCAAATGGGCATTATATTTTAATATTTGTTTTATTCTGAATATTTGTTTTATTCTGAATTGTTTTACATTCTGTAAAAATGTGCTAAAATTAAATTTCTTGTTTCATTGAAATTTCTTGTTTCATATTTTGTACCCCGGTTTTTAAAATGTGTACCATTTTTACAACATTTTATCTATTCAGTTAAACAAAAATTTCAGTTAAACAAAAATTTCAATTTTATGCCATTTATTACAGATTAAACAAGTTTACAATAAATCAATTTGATATTTAACGGAATCCTAATTCAATGTGCAGTATGGTTGTCACTCTTTAAATAGATTAGATATAGGTTGACGGGGCAAAGGAGTGTGCGTGCTGTTCGCTATTGCTCACACCAAACGGCAACCTAGTAAATGTTTTGTATGAACACCGGTCTCCATCACGACACAAAATTAGGATTGTAGAATTTATTGTATAACTATTAGTGCAGTGGAGGTAGCGGTGTGGTGCATTAATAGAGTGACAGCCTACTGATTTAGAGTTGTTTTTAAGTGAGCATAATGGGTGTATTTTTGGATCTAATGGCAACTTTAAAATTTGTTCTTTTAATCATTTATTAAATATCAGTTTAAAAATATATAAATCTGGAATCTGTTCACTCTGTGAACCAGTCCTATAAAAATTTCAAAAACCCTCCTAAATTAAATATTAAAAACGTCTCAGTAATGGAAATAGTCATACAATTAAGAAATTATCCAAATTCTTAATATCTACCTAAGAGAAAAATACCTACCTAAGTCAATTTCTACCTGTAATACACTAAATATTAGGTTAAATACATAGGTGGTGGAGTCAGCACACATTTACAAAAATCAAAATTGTTTAATAGGAGGAGCCTGTGGGCCGAGATCACTGGATTAAATTTGATGAAGGGGATTGTTTTCAAATGACAGCTGCATTATGTCATAATCGCTTGTGGTCCATGCCGAATCATTATAAGCATGTTGCAGCTTTAGAAGTGCCTTTTTCAGGCGACTTTTAGCAAGGCTAATCTTGTAGGAGTAGTCAAAGAGCTTAAGTATTGTATTGGTTTATTCATTTTTCAAGGGTGCCTTTCCTTATAGCTAGAACATTGCTCAAATTATCTGTATATTTTTCGAAACATTTGTATTCAAAAGTTGGTGAGTTACCTTAGTTTGTTTAATTATGGCGGTTTAAATTTGGTGGTTTTTCGGAAATTTCACCATATTTTTATTTTTATCCGCTACCGTATAATAAAACCTGCCTAGTCAATTTTTGGAGATCGACTGGGTATATGGCATGATAATTTTCGGAAAAACCACCATGTTTTTACCTGCCATTAATATATGAACTAAGGTAGGCAACAAAATAGCTTTTGTAGTCTAATGTTTACAGTATGTTTACGTTGATCTTGCCAGTGGCATGTTTTTTCAAGATTGTCCCAGATCCAAAAGACGATTTGGTGCACGCCCCTTCTAAGTTGTGTCAGCAGGGTCTTGTGTTACTGGTGGTCTTTGTGAATAATAGCATTTTAGTGAGATGACCTCCATGATGCAGACCAGATGAGTTGAGTTAACGAATTAAGCTACATTTGTAGCATAATTTGATCGCAGTGCTCACGGCCTGTACTGCGTGAACGACAGAAATATCTTTTAAATTATTTTGCTTCTGAAATTTTGGCTCTAGTAATTAAGAAATGTGACATGTAATTGTAAGTTAACAATTAAATAGATCCTGTGCGCGGCGCCTACAGCTGACCTACGAATTTCTGAACAATTTTAAATTGTGGCTGTGTGCGCGGCGTACTGTATATGTGTTTGAAATTGAAATTTGAATTTATTTATGAATATAACATTATGTATTGATTATTTGTGGTAAATAAAAATTTTTCTTTCCTAAAAAATTTTTCTTTCCTACTAATTTAAACCTACAGGGTGGGCCAAAAGTCAGTGTGCAAACGTTGGGTCTTATACCTCCGCCGTGTTTTATATTTGAGAGCTGTTGCTTTGCAAATGGCATACTGTACTTACTGGTTCGAGGATTCCGTCGTCAAAATTTGAAAATTCGAATATTTTAGACCACGCCCATTCAATATTAAAACACCTATATTGTTTTCTCTGAACATGCTGAACGCCTAATTTTTTCAGAGACGGTAGATTATCAAATGTTGCATATGATCTGAAAACATGAGGCAAAACGGATTAGAAATGACGAAGTTATCAAGCATTTTGTGTATCTCGTTAACAAAATTGACTGGGTGATTATGTGACACCGTGACACGACACCTTAATTGGGCACCCTTAACAATTCCCATAATGTTTAACGGGGTAGTTAACAGGGACGTTATCACGTGATTAGGTAAACCAATCACCTGATCACACGTAATGAATAAACTCGTTATGCTTCATATCTCGGTCATCTGAGAAGCTACAGTTCTAATTCTTTCAGGACAAACGTAATTCGAATGGCCAAACACAATTCAATAACATTTAGCTTGATCCGACTATCCAAACTATCAAATAAATGTGAAAATGAACCTCCATTTGAAAAAAATGAACGCGAATATTTTTCGAGTTGACAAATTCCTCGAACCAGTGGTGGTACTAAGTCATACCAGAAGGAAGTATTTCAATTGGGCACTCAGTGACTGAGCTATTAAGGCCAACGTTTGCACACTGACTTTTGGCCCACCCTGTATAATTAAACTTACTAATGAAAAGGATGGGAGGAGATGGTGGATCGATCCCCACAAGATGTGAACTTGTCAAGTTGAAGAAGGCTGCAGAGGTAAAGAATAAAGACCAGCATATGGTTGGAAAGTGGCAACATTGCGCACTGAGTGGTCAAACGTTAGCTAAACCAATCATGTCTTGCAGACTTGGGAGGTATGTCTAATTTTACACACACTTCAGTACAATCTTTATTAATATTCATTGAAACTATTGAAATTATTTAGTTGTTGAACGATAGTGTGTAGTTTCCTAAATGCACTAGATGACGTTTAACTTGGCTGAATCCACTGTGTAGCATTACCAAAGGTGTTCATCATATTTTTGAAATTTGTACCGTTCGTGTTTGAATCTCACAAATTGATAAATAATGTTTATTTCAATTTTGTTTTCAGGCTTTACAATAAGGAAGCAGTCATCGAAACCTTACTGGACAAGAGCATAAAATCTCACATCAAAAAATTAAGTGTAAGTTCAATTTGAATGATTGATTTTCTAATACATACTGATTACTGATACTCCGGATCAATGCACGTCTGTAACCTAGGCTAACAGTAAATCATGTTCTTTAGTAACATGTTGCTGTTTGTAAAAAAACAATAGCATCGTACATCTGACATATATTTGACCAGTTTTGTAGTTTTGTTACGTGTTGAAAAACAGAGCTCCCTTATCTCTGTTTAATCGGAAATTTTAACTGCCACTGCACTGCTACTGCACGGTGTTTGTACTTTACCTTTGAACATCTATACAAGTACAAATACACAATTGCAATGGAAAAGTCTGCTCATAACTCTGCAAAGAATCTTCTCGTCAACGGTTTATGTAAAGCTTGTTCGAATGATGAGGTTGTCAAAAGTACCGACATTGTACAGTGTTTTTGGTGTAAGGACAGTTTTCATGCTATCAACTGTGATGAAACTTGCAATGTCAGTGCGCCCACGGTTTTTACTGCTCACCTGTCTCATGCTGTGAACAACACTTCATCTTATGCTAAACGATTTGGTCGCTTTCTATTTATCTGTAATGATTGTAGTACTGCTGAGGAGGAAAAGAGGGCTGCTACTACCGTAGATCGGGTAGGATTGTTAGATAATAAAATAGATGCCATAAATTTGGAGTTCAGGGAAGAGATGTCTGAACTTAAAACCTTGCTGAAGGAACAACTGTCCCAGAAACCTGAGAGAGCTCAAGAGCGATCCTCAGATCAGGTTGATTTTATGAAACAATTTGCTGAACAGTTTTCATCTTTAAAAGAAGACCTCACGAAAAATATCAATGATGTTATTGACAATAAAGTAAACACTGTTGTAACAAAATCTGGTACTGTTTCTCATACAAAGGACGTTCTCTATTCCAGCTTGTTTACCGACTCAAACAGTTCCACACCATCTGCTCAACCACCACATGTTCCAATTGCTCCAACACGTACACAACCTTCATCACCCGAGATTCTAATTCTGTCCCCGAAAGAAGAACAATCGGTAAATGCTGCAACAATGACGAATGTGAAAAAATTTGCTACTGATAAATTAAAGAGCAGTCAAGTAGTATTTCTCAGATGTAATGAAAACAACAAGAAAGTTTCAATTGGCTTCCCTAATGCTGAAATTCGTGATAAGGCTACTTCACTTCTCAATGATGGAAATACCTTAGATTCGTATGGATATCAGTCTAAGAATGGCAACAAAATGCTGCCAAAAGTTACTATTTATGGTGTTTCTTCTGAAGTTCTTGACGATATAGACACTACAGCTGTAGGGAATGATGCCGATAAACTTAGGGATCTTGAAAAGAACCACTTAGTCGCCCAAATTGTGGAGAAAAACTCGTCCATCAAAGATTTGTATGAAGCAGGGCACACTATCAGTATTGTCTATCTCAATAAGATAAAACGTTTCACCAACGATAAGCAGGAACGCATAGAGCTCACTATTGGAATCAAACTATCACCATCTGTCTATAGAGTCCTCTTTAACCAACAACAAGGATCTCTCTATTTAGGTAGTCGCAGATACAAAGTAACTGATCGCTTCTACATCAAACAGTGTTATCATTGTCAAATGATTGGACACACTTCTGTTGACTGTAATGAAGTCAAAACAAATAAACATCCTACCTGCATGTACTGTATGGGAAGTCACCGGTCTTCAGCATGCCAATTTAAGCAGAAGAAGGACAAACATGCCTGTGCTCGATGTTTGGCTTCAACACACACTAATGATGCCGAGAATTCAAGAACACATAATGCGGCAGCTTACGATTGTCCTGTGTTGGTAAGAGAAACTAAACGTATTGCTGCTAACACTGATTTTATTTCAAAAAACGTAATGTGAAATTAGGTGCTAATCGACAGAAATCACAGCTTTCTATTGGTTGTTTCAACGCAAGGTCTCTATGCAACAAAACTTGTGGCGTACTAGAAATGCTTAAAGATAACTCGATTTCTATCTGTTGTATCACGGAAACTTGGCTAAAAACTAATGATCGGGCAAAGTTTGCCGAAATCCGTGATTTTGGGTTCGATATTATCAGTGCCCCTCGAAGAGGTAGGGGAGGTGGTGTTGGTTTTCTCTTCAACCCCAAAATGATATCGCCTGTACGCAATGATGTTACTAAATATTCATCTTTTGAAGTACTTGAATGTGTCATTAAAACTGCTGGTGAGATTATCAGGCTATGTGTAGTTTATCGCAGCACTCAGGCCAAAGCGAAATATGATGAAACAAAAATATCTAAGTTTATGGATGACTTTGATGGATACCTGGACAATCTTCTGCTTAAAACTGGATCTCCAATTATTTGTGGTGACTTTAATTTCCATGTTGAAGACCTGAACAATAATGTTGCCCAGAACTTTATTGCTCTTTGTGAGAGCAAAGGCTTCCTTCAGCATGTCGACTCTCCTACTCACATCTCCGGCGGGACACTGGACTTGTTATTTACTCTAGGCTGTGTAAGTGACTCATTGTCTGTAACAGATATGATGGTAGAGACAAGCACTGGAACCAGCTCTGATCACTATCTAGTAAGTTTTCAGGTCCCAGTCACATTCGATCTTCATAAAGCTCGTACATATGAAGAAAAAGATGTCAGAGAGCTAAGCAAAATTGACATCGATAAGTTCAGGGAAGATCTGTTTTGTTCAGAGCTTAACCTTTCTGAATATCAATCCTTAGACGAGACTGTGAACCTTTATCAAAATGTCCTTGAACAGGTGCTAGACAAACATGCCCCACTTATTACGAAACGATTTACTGCTGAAAAGTCTGATTTTTGGGATAATAAATGTCAAATTGCTGTCAGAAAGAGGAGAAGGGCAAAACGAAAAGCCAAAAAGTATCCAGAGAATGATGAGTTTAAAACTACTCATTTTGAAAAATGTGTTGACGCAGAAATCACTATCAATCGAGCTAGGGATGGCTACTATGATAAACAGCTCAGTTCTTGCAAAGGAGACTCGAAAGGGACCTATAAAGTCATAAATAAACTTTTAGATAAGGAATATGGCTCCAACAAATTGCCAAATGGTGAAGATATCGAAGTGGCTGCCAAACTCAAGACTTTCTTCGATCAAAAAGTAAAGACCATTTACTCTAATATTGAGAAGGAAATTCAAAACACTTCCCTAAACGGTCAAGGTACCAAGGACTCTACGTCGATAGATAATGCAAAGTGTAGACTTAATCAGTTTAAGGAAGTCTCATTATCAGACCTTGAAACCTTAATTAAGAGTCTTCCCAATAAATCAAGCGTACTAGATGTCATACCAATGTGGCTCTTCAAGAACTGCTTACCCGAGCTTCTCCCAATCATCCATTACATCGTGAATGAATCACTAAGAGTCGGAAAGTTTCCATCTGCCCTAAAAGAAGCATCTATTAGGCCTGGACTCAAGAAACCTACCTTAGATGTTGATGAGCTGAAAAACTATCGACCGATTAGTAATCTAACTTATCTGTCCAAAATACTAGAAAAAGTAGTTCATTGCCAATTAAATGAATATGCTGATGTCAACAACCTGTTTTCCCCATATCAATCAGGCTATAGAAAATTCCATAGTTGTGAAACTGCAGTTACCAAAATACATAATGATATTCTAATGATGATTGACAGCAAATCGAATGTTGTGCTTCTACTCTTAGATCTATCAGCTGCTTTCGACACCATAAACCATAACCTCCTTCTTACGAAACTCAAGAATGCGTATGGTATTACAGAACTAGCACTCAGCTGGTTACAATGTTACCTTAATAATCGCACATTCAAGGTTAAAGTAAAAAAAGCCACATCTTCTGAAGGCTATCTGGATATTGGTGTACCTCAAGGATCCATTTTAGGACCACTACTGTTCATATTGTATACCAGAGATCTTGAAGAAATTGTCACAAAATATGGTTTCTCGATACATTTGTATGCAGATGACACACAGGTGTACTTTACTTTTGATGTTCACAGTTCTAATCCTGATTTAACAGCTGTGAAAAATTGCTTTCTGGAGATAAAGCAATGGATGACAGTTAACTTCCTAAAACTGAATGATGAAAAAACAGAGTTCATTGATATAGGACCATATGTCAGCCCAATCCAGACAATGGATTTAGGAGACCTCTCAATCTGCCCTGTTAGCAAGGCCAAGAACCTGGGATTCCTTTTCGATCACCAAATGAATCTGGACTCTCAAATAAATGCTGTCTCCAAAGTATGTTATTTGAATCAAAGGGACTTAGCAAGAATCGGTTCGAAGCTTTCCCATGACCTAAAAGTTCAGCTAGTTCACTCCAATATCCTCTGTTTCATAGACTACTGCAACTCAGTCTATTATGGACTAACAGAAAAGAATCTTCATAAGCTACAAAAGATACAGAACAATGCTGCTAGATTTATCTTTGGTCTTTACGGAAAAAAGATACGTGAACCTATCATGCCTTACCTCAAAAAGCTCCACTTTCTGCCTGTTCGGTTCAGAATTAAGTTCAAAATATCACTTCTGGTCTTCAAGTGTCTTAATAACATAGCCCCTCAGTACTTACAAGGACACGTCAATCTAAGGGAAGTACGAAGACAAAGTTCCAGACTAGATGATGACTTTTATTTGTTGAAAGTTCCTCCTGCTCCTCATTTCAGACGAACAGATGCTGCATTTATGTTTTGTGGACCAAAAATTTGGAATAAACTACCCTACTCAGTGAGATCATTATCATCTGTAGAATGTTTTAAAAATGCCCTAAAGACGTTTTATTTCCAACTAGCTTTTGATAATATTTCTAATATTTGTCCATAATGTCTGAACTGATATGAAAGTGCATAATTTTGGTAACTTCATACAAATATTTGTTCATAAAATCTGAACTGTTTAAAAAGTCCATAATCTTGCTATTTCAACACTAAGTCTCGCTTGAATGACTTTAATGTACATCTTTGTTGGGTATATTTTAATGTCGAAGCGTGTAATAAATGTTAGAATTTATTTATTATATTTATTTATTATTTATTTATTTATATACTATCAATCATTATAAATTCTAATCAATAATTCCACCCTTCAAGCTTTTTTGCTCTGCTTTATTATATCATATTATATATATTGCAGGATGTTGTTGAACTTAAGCTGACTGACAACGCAGTGTATAACAGTGAAATAAAGGCTGACTTGTACATTGACCACTATTCAGCTCCTTTCGTGTGTCCTGTCATTGGGCTGGAAATGAGTGGTAGATACAGGTAATAAATACAACAATAGTATATATAACATGTAGATACAGGTAATTTAAAAAAAAATCGATATTAACTTTCAAAATGTTACACAAATACATGGCCGAATGACCTTGATAAGTGACTGAGTGTAAACAAAATTAGGGACGCCGAAACACCATTTGACCAGTTAACTGGTCATAGCAATTACATCGGGCCTTACATGCACCTATGAGTGGTAGATACAGGTAATAAACACACAACAATAGTATACATAACACATGCCCATTGTCCATGCTTATTGGTTCATTTGTCTGAGATGTCTTCTGTACTGAACTTAATCCCAGTTAAATTGTTATCACCCACAACCCCACACTTCTCTGCTGAACTTAATCCCAGTTAAATTGTTATCACCCACAACCCCACACTTCTCTGCTGAACTTAATCCCAGTTAAATTGTTATCACCCACAACCCCACACTTCTCTACTGAACTTAATCCCAGTTAAATTGTTATCACCCACAACCCCACACTTCTGTACTGAACTTAATCCCAGTTAAATTGTTATCACCCACAACCCCACACTTCTCTACTGAACTCAATACCAGCTATATTGTTATCTCCCACAACCCCACACTTCTCTACTGAACTCAATACCAGTTATATTGTTATCACCCACAACCCCACACTTCTCTACTGAACTCAATACCAGCTATATTGTTATCACCCACAACCCCACACTTCTGTACTGAACTTAATCCCAGTTAAATTGTTATCACCCACAACCCCACACTTCTCTACTGAACTTAATCCCAGTTAAATTGTTATCACCCACAACCCCACACTTCTCTACTGAACTCAATACCAGTTATATTGTTATCTCCCACAACCCCACACTTCTCTACTGAACTCAATACCAGCTATATTGTTATCACCCACAACCCCACACTTCTCTACTGAACTCAATACCAGCTATATTGTTATCTCCCACAACCCCACACTTCTCTACTGAACTCAATACCAGCTATATTGTTATCACCCACAACCCCACACTTCTCTACTGAACTCAATACCAGTTATATTGTTATCTCCCACAACCCCACACTTCTCTACTGAACTCAATACCAGCTATATTGTTATCACCCACAACCCCACACTTCTCTACTGAACTCAATACCAGCTATATTGTTATCACCCACAACCCCACACTTCTCTACTGATCTCAATACCAGTTAAATTGTTATCTCCCACAACCCCACACTTCTCTACTGAACTCAATACCAGTTATATTGTTATCACCCACAACCCCACACTTCTCTACTGAACTCAATACCAGCTATATTGTTATCTCCCACAACCCCACACTTCTCTACTGAACTCAATACCAGCTATATTGTTATCTCCCACAACCCCACACTTCTCTACTGAACTCAATACCAGCTAAATTGTTATCCCCCACAACCCCACACTTCTCTACTGAACTCAATACCAGCTATATTGTTATCTCCCACAACCCCACACTTCTCTACTGAACTCAATACCAGCTATATTGTTATCTCCCACAACCCCACACTTCTCTACTGAACTCAATACCAGCTATATTGTTATCACCCACAACCCCACACTTCTCTACTGAACTCAATACCAGCTATATTGTTATCTCCCACAACCCCACACTTCTCTACTGAACTCAATCCCAGTTAAATTGTTATCTCCCACAACCCCACACTTCTCTACTGAACTCAATACCAGTTAAATTGTTATTACCCACAACCCCACACTTCTCTACTGAACTCAATACCAGTTAAATTGTTATCTCCCACAACCCCACACTTCTCTACTGAACTCAATCCCAGTTAAATTGTTATCTCCCACAACCCCACACTTCTCTACTGAACTTAATCCCAGTTAAATTGTTATCTCCCACAACCCCACACTTCTCTACTGAACTCAATCCCAGTTAAATTGTTATCTCCCACAACCCCACACTTCTCTACTGAACTCAATACCAGTTAAATTGTTATTACCCACAACCCCACACTTCTCTACTGAACTCAATACCAGTTAAATTGTTATCTCCCACAACCCCACACTTCTCTACTGAACTCAATCCCAGTTAAATTGTTATCTCCCACAACCCCACACTTCTCTACTGAACTTAATCCCAGTTAAATTGTTATCTCCCACAACCCCACACTTCTCTACTGAACTCAATACCAGCTATATTGTTATCCCCCACAACCCCACACTTCTCTACTGAACTCAATACCAGCTATATTGTTATCTCCCACAACCCCACACTTCTCTACTGAACTTAATACCAGCTATATTGTTATCACCCACAACCCCACACTTCTCTGCTGAACTCAATACCAGCTATATTGTTATCTCCCACAACCCCACACTTCTCTACTGAACTCAATACCAGCTATATTGTTATCACCCACAACCCCACACTTCTCTACTGAACTCAATACCAGCTATATTGTTATTACCCACAACCCCACACTTCTCTACTGAACTCAATACCAGCTATATTGTTATCTCCCACAACCCCACACTTCTCTACTGAACTCAATACCAGTTAAATTGTTATCACCCACAACCCCACACTTCTCTACTGAACTCAATACCAGCTATATTGTTATCACCCATAACCCCACACTTCTCTACTGAACTCAATACCAGTTAAATTGTTATCACCCACAACCCCACACTTCTCTACTGAACTCAATACCAGCTATATTGTTATCTCCCACAACCCCACACTTCTCTACTGAACTTAATACCAGCTATATTGTTATCACCCATAACCCCACACTTCTCTACTGAACTTAATACCAGCTATATTGTTATCTCCCACAACCCCACACTTCTCTACTGAACTTAATACCAGCTATATTGTTATCACCCATAACCCCACACTTCTCTACTGAACTTAATACCAGCTATATTGTTATCTCCCACAACCCCACACTTCTCTACTGAACTCAATACCAGTTAAATTGTTATCACCCACAACCCCACACTTCTCTACTGAACTCAATACCAGCTATATTGTTATCTCCCACAACCCCACACTTCTCTACTGAACTTAATACCAGCTATATTGTTATCACCCATAACCCCACACTTCTCTACTGAACTCAATACCAGTTATATTGTTATCACCCACAACCCCACACTTCTCTACTGAACTCAATACCAGTTATATTGTTATTACCCACAACCCCACACTTCTCTACTGAACTCAATACCAGCTATATTGTTATCTCCCACAACCCCACACTTCTCTACTGAACTTAATACCAGCTATATTGTTATCTCCCACAACCCCACACTTCTCTACTGAACTCAATACCAGTTAAATTGTTATCACCCACAACCCCACACTTCTCTACTGAACTCAATACCAGCTATATTGTTATCACCCACAACCCCACACTTCTCTACTGAACTCAATACCAGTTATATTGTTATTACCCACAACCCCACACTTCTCTACTGAACTCAATACCAGCTATATTGTTATCTCCCACAACCCCACACTTCTCTACTGAACTTAATACCAGCTATATTGTTATCTCCCACAACCCCACACTTCTCTACTGAACTTAATACCAGCTATATTGTTATCTCCCACAACCCCACACTTCTCTACTGAACTCAATACCAGCTATATTGTTATCTCCCACAACCCCACACTTCTCTACTGAACTCAATACCAGCTATATTGTTATCTCCCACAACCCCACACTTCTCTACTGAACTCAATACCAGCTATATTGTTATCTCCCACAACCCCACACTTCTCTACTGAACTCACTAATAGCTATATTGTTATCTCCCACAACCCCACACTTCTCTACTGAACTCAATACCAGTTAAATTGTTATCTCCCACAACCCCACACTTCTCTACTGAACTCAATACCAGCTATATTGTTATCTCCCACAACCCCACACTTCTCTACTGAACTCAATACCAGCTATATTGTTATCTCCCACAACCCCACACTTCTCTACTGAACTCAATACCAGCTATATTGTTATCTCCAACATCACCACACTTCTCTACTGATCTCAATACTAGCTATATTGTTATCTCCCACAACCCCACACTTCTCTACTGAACTTAATACCAGCTATATTGTTATCTCCCACAACCCCACACTTCTCTACTGAACTCAATACCAGCTATATTGTTATCTCCAACATCACCACACTTCTCTACTGAACTCAATACCAGCTATATTGTTATCACCCACAACCCCACACTTCTCTACTGAACTCACTAATAGCTATATTGTTATCTCCCACAACCCCACACTTCTCTACTGATCTCAATACTAGCTATATTGTTATCTCCCACAACCCCACACTTCTCTACTGAACTTAATACCAGCTATATTGTTATCTCCCACAACCCCACACTTCTCTACTGAACTCAATACCAGTTATATTGTTATCTCCCACAACCCCACACTTCTCTACTGAACTCAATACCAGCTATATTGTTATCACCCACAACCCCACACTTCTCTACTGAACTCAATACCAGCTATATTGTTATCTCCAACATCACCACACTTCTCTACTGAACTCAATACTAGCTATATTGTTATCTCCCACAACCCCACACTTCTCTACTGAACTCAATACCAGCTATATTGTTATCTCCCACAACCCCACACTTCTCTACTGAACTCAATACCAGCTATATTGTTATCCCCCACAACCCCACACTTCTCTACTGAACTCAATACCAGTTATATTGTTATCTCCCACAACCCCACACTTCTCTACTGAACTCACTAATAGCTATATTGTTATCTCCCACAACCCCACACTTCTCTACTGAACTCAATACCAGCTATATTGTTATCTCCCACAACCCCACACTTCTCTACTGAACTCACTAATAGCTATATTGTTATCTCCCACAACCCCACACTTCTCTACTGAACTTAATACCAGCTATATTGTTATCTCCCACAACCCCACACTTCTCTACTGAACTTAATACCAGTTA